CATTTCAGCTGGTAGCACCCGATGCCACCCAGGAGGGTCTTACCATGGCGCCCCATGCGACGTTACCACCCTGGTGGCACCAATAAAAACGTGGACGCTTGATTCTACCAGCTTGTGATGCGTCCACAACCTGCCCGCGATTAAGGCTCCTTTCATCTCAATTCGTGCAGAAGGTTGAAGATCAAGCAAGCCACGGCATATCCAGCAAAAGCTTTTGTGCGTGGCGGTCGGAAGAAAGCCTTTCAAATAGGTGATGAGCGGGGGAATCGAACCTGAGGCACGCGACAACATGACTGATCGCCGGAGAGCTCCTCCGTACCCTTTCGTCAAGACGGTACGTTGGCATTCGGAAAATGAGTCATCATATCACGTATCTCAAGCATAACCCTGCCCGTGTAAAGTCCCGTACAAATACATGCGTATAATCATAATTACATCTACTCATAATGATAATCAACGGCAAGCGAGCTATTGACCAATTATCCGTGCTTTGTGCGCTTGGTGGGAGTCCCGAAAACGTCACTCCTTGAAGGAGGATATACGCCCGGTGATGAGGACGATTCGGTTGCGAATAACCGTCTCCGAATCCCTTCGTCAACCGCGTGGGCATGGGGTGACAACGAGGGTGACCGATGAGGGAACAAGACATGTCCGAGACAATTCACCGGCGTTCTCGGAGTCGATGGTCCGGACGATGATTGTACCGACGTTGAACTTCGCCCTGTCCAGCCGTTGCTAAGGTGAGGGGTGGAGGACGTGTCCGACTGCCATGCGCCGTCCGCCATGCCGCCAACATTCACATGCAGCGCCTCCAGCTGCTCATACACGGTGGCAACATCTTGACTCATCCGCGACCTCCCGCACATCCCTATCTTCGTCGTCATCTTCGTCACCCAACATGTAGTCTGCATCGGCGTGGTTCGACAGAGTCTCTTGCATTTCGGCATCGCCCCCGGGGTGTGTCGCCAAAGAGTATGTAGTCACGGGGGCGGAGGTTGCCTTTGGGGGGATGTTGTTGGTCATTCGCGCCATTTCTTCCCGCATTTCGCTTTTGCTTGGCCCCCACTTGTTGGGCGGCGTATCTCCGTCGGTGGGAATAGCAGTCACGGTCTTTTTCCAGGTTACGGCTAAGCTCAGTAGCTCCTTGCGATAGAGGAAGACGTGATGATATAAGCCCTCAGACAGGTCTGAGCGAAATGTCAATAGAATACCAGGATGGCAACAACCAATCACTGACCGGCCATATTGACGGCGTGCTCGACCGCCTCCCACTCCTCGCGCAACCAAATCTGCATGTTCTTACGTTCGACCGAAATTCTGTTGAATTCCTCCTAGCATCGATCCGTGCTCAGCATATGATGAATCCCATCTTTCACTTTTTGTCCGTAAGCCAACGGACGGACGGATGGTTGTCAACACCATCTTCATCCAGCAGCCCAACATCTAGCCAGATGTCATCGTCCACGTCAAGACCCCATAGATTTTCCATGTTGATCGGTCTTGGAGGCTCGGTCCGAGGTGGAGCTTTGCGCTTCTTGACCAGATCGGCCATTTCACCGCATAGCAAATTATACCTGCAGGCGAGTGTCTGGATTCCGGGTTCCCGTCGATGGACCGCGTTCGTAGCGTGTGCTGCCAACTTTCGGTCTGACACATTCCCATGATTCAGGCTCGGCACTGAGGATGAGGTCCAGACGGAGAGACGCACCGGAAGACTCCGTGTGGAACCTCCGTTCTATACCCGCAAATTTGAACTTGCGCTGATGCAAGCGATCCCGGATACGGCTCTTCAGGGCCAATGCGTTAAGGCGTGCCGTCAGGTAGCGACTCGCGCGCAGCGCTTGGAGATCCTGCCTCCTGCGAAGGTCTAGGCTGTCCTCCATTCGGTGCTTCTTTGTCATGGCACGGCGGCGCTCCTCCAGCAGCTCAGCTATCCGGAACATTGTATCGGTATCACCTTGACCCTTCATGACTGCCTTTTCGAGTTTCGTGATGTTCATGTCGAGGACCTTCAGCTGATCCTGTAAGACGAGAATCGCATCAATGGTTCTTGCACCTGCGTCCTTTACCTGTCCTGACAGGAGAAGTCAGTTTACTCCGGCTTCCAGCAGAAGTGATTTACTCCGAAGTGGTTTCGTCTGCGCGGATTTTTTTTGAAGTTCCCATTGGTCGCGCAGGAATTCCATGGTCAGGGAACATTTTTGAAGACCATCCTGAGCTTCGATCCATCGAGAGCGGCACGCCTCGTACTTGCGTACAAGCCATTCAGCGATTCCACGCCGGTGTAGGCCATCCAGATGGTGTATTTGAGAGTTGATCACATACAACCGTTGAAAGTACTTCACAATTCCGTCAGTGATCTCTTCTTCGTTCAGGCGGATAATCACTTACACCGCTAACACGCAGCCCGGCCACGAGGTGGTCCAGTGCGCTCCAGAGGCACTCGCATCCTTCTCCATCTGAAAGGCCAAAACACGCACACTTTCGCGGGTGGTATATGATTTGACATAGCCATTGGTGGCCAAACGCGTGGAACACCGAGATCGTGAACACTATGCGGTCGCGGTAATCTGGTAGGAGGTCCCACTTATAACAGCTTCGATGCAACTGACAGCCTATGTCGTATAACACACCCGCACGGAATGTTGCCGGCACGTGGCGGAAGAACTTGTCAAGGAGTGCAATGGCATAATGCTGACGTTCGCCTGCGCTG